AATAACTGTGAGACAAATTAATCCCAAAGGCAGAAACGTGATTTAATCAAAGAGATGTATTGCATTTATTTTCAGAATCAAATTTCTTCTATTTCCCTGCTAACAACCATTTGTCTCTTTGTATTTTTAGAGTTATAAATATCATACTTGCTATTTTCTGATGCTCACTAGGTAATTTTAGGGGGCATTGGCCACTGTAGATGAAGTCCCCATTAGCCTTTACTATGAGTGATGATGGCAGCAAGGAAAATGACCTTGCTAAGCACCCATGGTAGCCAGGCACTGTGTGGGGCTTTGCACAGGTGATGGCATTGAAACCTCACCTCCAAGTCAAGAGTGAGAAGCTGCTACACTGATTTTACAGATGAGAATGCTGATATGCACAGGTGACTTTGTCAAAATCACACAGGATATGGATTCATTTCTGTGTGACACAAGAATCCATGTTCTTGCTACTACACTATATTCTCCTCAATTAACAAGCATCTTTTAAAATTTTACACCTAATATACTTTAGAATACTAAAGTAGAGACAACTTTTGAAACTTTTTTCAATAATAGATTTTTTTGAAATGTAAATTTTCTTTCAAGTGGCTGACATTTTTCAAAATTTGGTTGCCACACTGATGGCAAGGATTGGAAATAGAGATTGTATCATGGTAAAGAGACCTCAGTGGCTTTTGTTGACAATATGTAATTGGAAATAAAATGTCTTCAGTTCTCATAGAACTACTATAGTAAGGCAATGAAAATGATGGTCACTCTCAAACATTCACTTTGACCACAACACCTGGGGAGTCTGTAAAATAGACTGATTCTGTGCCTTTACCCTGAGGGGTTCTGTGTCAGCAGGTCGGGGATGGAGTCAGGAATTTGAATTTTCCGTAAGCTCCCAGGTGACTCCGATTCAGGTGGTCCAAAGAACACACTTTAAGAAATACCAGGCTGGACAAATATCAGGAATACGGCACTTTCCTAAGGAATTCGGGGCAGATCCATGTGGTTCCAAGTTCAGGTTCAAATGTTATGTTGTATCTTGAACATGTCTAATTGAAGAGGTTGGGTTGTTCACTTTGTCCCCACCCCACAGACTGTCAGTTCAACCATGAGCATGGAGAATGCAAGGGTGAGCCCATTCTCAGAAATATTTTTGGGGGAGAATATGGTCAAGAAATTGGTAGATGTCGCTAAGCAGATGTTCTGTGCTGGAAATTGATCAACTTCAGCAAATTTTAATTTGCCTTCTGGTTTCACTGATTTGTATTTTAATAGCATAAAACAATGTTTAATCTCAAATGGGGAAGCACAAGATTATTCTGAGAAAAAAAGCAAACATGCTAACAAAATTATTTAGTAACACTTTGCCAATAAAGATGAACATCCTTCCTGAATTTCTTTCATTCAAAAGACTTTCCAAATTTTTGGAACAAGAAGGATACAGCTGGGTAAACTTGGAGAAGTTTGAAGCATTGGCATGGAATTCAGCTGGGAAATGTGCTCATTTGCTTTGTGGATTGTGTGTGGCATCAGAGACAGGGTTTCAGTCTGTCCCATGAGCATGATTCAATTGCCTGGAATCAAGAAGGACTCAGTAGGGTGTCCACATGAGCAACAATTTGATTTTAAGGGGCCTTCTGGTCCTAGGACACTTGCCTTTATGACACTTGCCTTCCCTGGGAGCCAAACTAAGTAAATGGTGCCTTACTGTTCAGTTTGTTCTACATTATCCAGGGCCCATGGCTCAGTGAAGGCATTGACTTGGAGCTTGCAAATCTATGTTTAAGTTCCAGCCTGGCCACTTACCAGGTTTTTGCCCCTTTGAGCAAGGCATGTGACCTCTATAAGTCTTTGTTTCCTCATTTATAAAATATAAATAATGAATAACTAATCTATAAAATTCAAAGGGCATGTATGAAACCTCAAATAAAATGTCATAGGTATATATAAGCTTTATAAATATTATATAATATATATGTATGACATTTAAAAATAATGACTAATAATAGTGATGATACTTATAACAATTGTTATTCTACAATGTCTAAGAGAGTATTAATCTGTTCTTTCCTTCTCTGTGAACCAGAGGCTGCAGATAAAATGTTCTTTTTTATGAAGCAGACCCCAAAACAGGCCATCACAATCCAAAAAGGAATAGCCATGACACTTTCACATATATTTTTATGGGAGGCAGAGTGGTTTATGCCATCTGCCAGGGTCAGGGCAATGGTGGGGTTCCCCAGAGGTGCTGTTGTTAGGGGGAGTCTCTCAGATGCCACTGCTCTTTTGAGGCAGACAATGGCCTCTGCTCTCTCCAGGGAGCGCATGGGCGAGTGATGTGCTAGGCAAACTTCAGCTCCAAGGAGAATGAACACCTTTGGGCAGAAAATGAAGGGGCAGGAGATCTTAAGTGAGGTATATTTCACGCTGGCACATTGATGGCTTTTGATCTCTTTAAACATATATTCTGTTCACAAGGAACCAGGTAAAAGAGAGGTTGTATAACTTTCAAAATGCAGTCTGTCCTTCAAGGACATACCTTGAAGTAATTTTTATAAGTGGGAAGAATGCCAATTTCAAGTAAAACTGTGAAACCAGGGTGAAACCATAGAGCCCAGTGACCCAATCTCTTAAGGATATTAGAGATTTTAATAACCAAAAATTTAGATGACACACACTCCTGGGAGTACTTGCATTTCTATAAGTAAGAACTATTGCAATTAGATGCAGTAATGGTGGTGGTGGTGGTGGTGGTGTGTGTGTGTGTGTGTGTGTGTGTGTGTGGCCATGTGCAAGATTGAGGCCCAGAAAAATGATAGCAACCCTGTGTATTTTTATCCTATTAGATTCAAAAGATAAGATTGAGTATTTTTAACTTTGCTTTGTTTAAAATTTAGTTTTTAAAAATTTACACTCTGAAAGTAATTTAAATGGAAAGAAAAATAGCCCTTAAACAAACCTTTCATTTTTTTCCTTTGTCCTTCATATTTGTATTAATTTTTCACTACCATTATATCATTAATATTTAACTTATTCCTTCACTGCTTATAAAACTATCATTTAAGATGGCGACACAATATTTGAAGGTCTCTATCCTCTCTCCTAGGTCTGCCTTCATTTCTCCAAAGGGAGGAGGTCTGACTGGACATATCCCAGGGGTCTGTCATCATCTGTTAAAGCTTCTCCTCTCTGGCCCCTCCTTGGAGGTCATCAGGTTCTTTTGTCTCCTATGTCAGGTTTTAGCACTCCTTCCGGATCCCTCATCCTCCCATGGGCCATCTGGTGCTGTAGGATCCTGAGATTCAGATAGGCCTGTCAGGTGTGGTGGCAGTGGTGGGGCCCTGGTGAGGGAGACTTTCAAGCCCTAGGTCCCATTTGGTTCACTATGTTTCCAATAATAAAATTGGCACCAGGCCCCATTTTCATGTCTCCCTTTGTATTTACCTTGAGAGAGTGGTGAGTGGGATCTGGGTCTGGATTCCAGTATTCTGTTCATAATATTATCATAACACCATCAAAACTGACTTGGTTCCTAACACTAGCCTCTACAGAAAGTATTATTGTTTACTTAGTCATCTCATTGTTGTGCAATTTTTCCTAATTTTCAACATATGGTCACCACTGTGATAATTATTTTTTTGCATAAATATCCCCCTCCCCTGTATTTTAGGTTATTTTCTTGGCTACATTATAGATAATGGAATTAATTCATTTATGAGGTGGAATACTTTCATAGCTCTTAATCCATAGCACCAAATCACTATTCAGAATGAGTGATGAGTGGCATTTATGAACATGCCAATTTCACTGATTCTATCCCTGGCCTTTGTTAAAATATATAGGAAAAATGATATTCAAAATTATTGATCTCTCATTTTCAGTAACTTTTATTTACTTAAATATAAAGGGGAAATTTAAGAGTTTTTAATTGTTTCTCTGCATTATTATTTTAAAAAAGATTTTTTTTAAGAGCGTCTTTTGAATAGCCATTGAAAAGACAAATCATTATTTTTGAAGGTGTGTTTGTTAGTTTGAGAATGATTGAGTCATCTGGAGCCATGTGTGGCATATAAAATTGTTGATCTCATTGGGTAAAACAATTTTTAAAATTACAAATCAGATGTAATTATAAAGTAATAACTGATTTTCTTGTGGAACTTAGAAACTACATTTGAAGGCAATTCCCAAAAGACATTCAAGATGTGTTTTGGGCAACTTTATTGGAAGGACAGTATTAAAATCATTAATGGATTTTTCATTTTGTATTACTTTGTAGGGTGAGTCTAATCCAGAGGTATTGAAAATACCTCAGAAAATATTAGAAGTGTTATACCAACAATACAGACAGAGCGTGACATCCAACATTGGAAATTAGAGTTAGTCGTGAAACTTTATTAGGAGAGAAGATAAATTTCTAATGTCTAATTTTCAAAAGCATCCCCAAGTATATCAAGAGCAAACTTGGAGATCTCAGCATATTATTTTAGTCTGTAGTAAGAATATGGGATCAGATGAGGGGAGTTGCAGTCATAAAAGAAGAGGTAGGAGGAAAATCTCTCTCAGCTGGAAGAAGAGAGAGAGGCAGAATAGGACAAAGAGCTGAGGTGTGTGTTTCTTGTCTCTGTCTCTGTCAACATTCTGGGAATGAGATTGGAGAGTATAAAGCAAGGAGGCTGAAGACTTATAGGTACAGGGGGCTCCTGCCTCCCTTCTCAGAAAATCGACATCCTCATAGTGAACTCCACATTCAACATGGCACTGGTACAAGATGGCACCAGACACCTCTAAATTAGATGTAGGGATAAAGAATAAGCCTGAGACAGTCCCTAGTTATGGAGCAATGTGAGGATGTCACTACTATTATTGGAATAAGCATATCTTTTCTCAAAGTGAATACTTTGAACATGATCCCCCTCATTCAGATTGATATGTATTGCTGTTTGTTAAAATGACTGTTACTCTGTTTCAGTCATACTTGATATATGTTTGTGTGCTTTACTCACCTGATTCTCTTTCAGTGTTATCTGCCCCTGTTCCTTACACCCAACGAAGGTTCTAACACATCTAAAAATCTTCTCATTTTGTTGTACTCTCTGAACAAAGTTGGCTGGAAAGAAGCCAATCCTGTCTTGAATTTTCCCCTGAAAGGAAAAAGGAGGCATGCATCCACAAATTGTAGCATTCGTTGTAATTGTAGTAACCAAATGACTTTTTTTTCCTTTTTTTTAAAGAAAGAGAAATACCTACTTTCCACCAGTCTTCATTGGAGTCTTCCAGAAGAGTAATCATGTCTCCTGGTCTAAAATGAATAGTGAATGAGTTGAGTGAGGAATTAGAGGGAGAACAAAAGAAAAAGGTGGTCCTTAAAAGTTGGAAGTAATAGTTTTTCATTTATACAAATAATCCTAAAATAAATAGATATAAAATTAACATGACTTCTACCAGTTCTTCTCACCCATGAAAATACCTTTGTTAGAAATTGAAAGCATGTGTAATTTCTATGCTGATTTTAAAAAAAAATCCTTAGTTTTATTTTTATCCGTAGATAATCATATTTGCATTGTAAAAAACTCCAGAATTTGGAAGTTGATAAGTTTCAAGTTTCAGGTTGTCCTTCATATTCTGCTCTACAATCTTCCCCCTATTGCCCAGAAGTGACCACTGTTCATAGTTTCCTGTATCCCCTTCTGGACTCTTTCCAAGGAGCACTTACATTTATACGTAGATGTGTATATGTATTTTTCTTGTTTTTGTTTTTTTTTTTAACTATTGACATCTAGAATTAGTCGTTAGGTTTATCATTATCTATACTTTCTCAGTACCTTCTTGAAAACTATATACTTTTACTTAGCTCCCCTTTCCCAGCCTGCCATCTTTTATGTTGGTATAATTTGAAATTTTGTTCTGGACTTGTGTGTATGTGTGTATGCGTACATGCATGCATGAGTATGTGTATGCTTTACACCTTTCATCACAAATTACCTGGGTTTAACTGAAGACTTATGTGGTTTTGTTGATGTAGTGGTTATTTGCTACTCCCTGTCTGATTTTCACATCCACATGTGTGTTTGAGTATATGGATGTTTGTTAATTCCTTCTTCTCAGTAGTTCCTGGAGCTTTTATAATCTAAAGACTCTACTATTTTGAACTTGGGAAAATTTTGTCTATTATGTTTCTCACTGTTTTCTTCCCATTCATTGTCTCTCTTTTACCTTTCTGGGCCATTTAGTCAACACATGCTGAATTTTCTGGATCAACCATCCACACCTTTTGTCTTTCTTACACATTTCGCAATCCTCCCCTACCCCTCCTTTTTTCCCTTCAATTTTGTCTTTCTGATCATTTATTTTGTGTTTAGGCTTGTCTTTTCTATCATTTATTATATTTAATAAATGTCCCTGTTCCTTACTCCCAATGAAGGTTCTAACCTTCTTTTTTAAGAATTTTTAAGAA